GCCGGCCAGCCGGAGCAAAGGGCCTGGCTTGCTTCTCGGGAAGTCCTCGCTGCAGAGCAAAATAGTTAAAAGCCAAACACAACCAAAACATAAGTAAGGCTTTCTTATCTGCTGAGTATGGGATAACTCATCGTGCTGTGTGGGGCTTGTGCCACGGGACATGCTGGTAGCACAGTGGGAGGAAAGGGGAGGCCTACAGGAAAGCTGGGGGGGACTTTCCACAAGGGCCTGTAGTGACAGGACAAGGGGTAACGGGTTTAAATTGAAAGTGGGGAGGTTTAGGTTGGATATCAGGAAGAAGTTCTTCCTGGAGAGGGTGGGGAGGCACTGGGACAGGTTGCCCAGAGAAGCTGTGGATGCCCCATCCCTGGGAGTGTCCAAGGCCAGGCTGGATGAGGCTTGGAGCAACCTGGTCTAGTGGAAGGTCTCCCTGCCCATGGCAGGGGGGTTGGAACTGGATGGTCTTTAAGGGCCCTTCCAACCCAAACCATTCTGTGATTCTAAGAAAGCCGTGCGAGGGGGAGGCAAAGCTCTCAGCCATTTTTTAGTCTTTTTGTGACAGCCCGTTTTGGCGTCAGCTCCTTGCAGTTATCCCCCGTGTATGTGCTCCGGACTGGCTGCTGCCAGTGAAGTGAGCGGGCGGGAGGTGCCAGGGGCATGAGAGGAGACAAACACCCAGGAGCAAGACAAGTGGTTGGTCAAAGGCACGAGCTGTTGGCCCACAAACCACCGCCGAAGCCAGAGCCACTTGGAGCCCAGGGGCTGCCGGTGCCCGAGCGGTGGTCAGGCTCACGCCGGGCAGCTCCCTGCCTGGTCCAGGGCCGATGTGTCAGGTTAAGCAGATCCGAGCGGCCGCGAGCAGAACCAGCTGCCCCGAGGAGCGCAGCGAGGCACCATGGTGCCGGCTTACCTATTAGCCTATTTACACACTTTGGTTTATTTCTCCAGTAGACTCCAAGAAAAAACACTGGCACACCAGTTAAAATGATAATGAGTCCAACTCCGCAGACGACTGGCTCGGAGTATAAGCTGAAGATCAGCAGAAATGCCCAAAATGCCAGGTAAGTGATGGGGATGAGGAGGTTCACCTGCCGGGAGAGAGCAGAGCAACAGCAGTGGCCGAGTGGTGGTGGGGGGCTGCGGGGGGCTGTGGGCAGCCCTGAGGCTTCAGGACCCTCCGTTGGTCATGCTCCCCTTCCCCTCTCTTCCCATCACAGCAGGTTGACAAGGGGTCTTGCCTGCCTTTGTATCCGGTTTTTACACTAATGGCCCTTTGGGTCATGGTGTGGGACCTTAAGGCATTACCACTACATCAAAAAATGAGCCGTTACGTCACATGGGAGGACAGAGGGCTTGGGGTGCCCGGCCCGCCCTTTGCATCGCTATAGCAACCAGAGATTTAGCTTTAACATTCTCACCTTGATAGGTCTGAAGATTTTGGGTTTCTTCCAGCGTAACACAATCAGGCCTATAATTGTCACTCCGTAGCAGAGGTAGTTAATAAATGACACGTAGTTGATTAGCGTGTATGTGTCTCCAACGAGCATGATGATAAGAGTGGCCAAGCACTGAGAAGAGAAGCATGGTCTTATTTGGTCGTTGCTACAAAAGGTAGCTTAATAGCAATAAACCCAAGCAAAAACCCCATAAAAGTAGCTAAACTCCTTCTGATTATGGCCCGTGCCCGGTGCCTGCTCCCTTCTGCTGTTTGGTGGGTTACCCCCGAGCTGTGCCACCAGGGCTGGGGCTGAATGGGGTTTGGGGTTATCTGGCGCCTGCTGAATCCCGACACCAATGCCCGTGGCCAGGCTGGCAGGGCTGGGAGGAGTGGCAGAGCTCTCCATCGCCCCACGCCACCCGTTTCTGTTGCAGGTTTTATAACGCTATTGAACCCTATGAGGACTTTAGGCAAAAGAAGGGTTTCTTGCAGACCAACACGTTGTGGTCAGTGCATTATGCTGTTGCAGGTGCCCTGTGTATTATAGAGAATAAAAGCTTTGCCCTTTCCCCCCGCCGGACCCCGGCTCGTGCTGCAGATGGCTGGCATCATTAATCTTGTGAGCATTACTCCTGTTTGGAAACCGGCAGATAGGTGGTGGAAATTTCCATGCCTAGGCTTGCTTGTTTGTACTGTATTTCGGAATAACTCTAAAGCCAGGAGAACTGGCTTGGGGGTCAGGGGTGTGCTCCTCAGACCCCATACCCCCGCCCATTGGTACCCCAGGTGCTGAGCTGAGCCCCTGCCTGCACCACGTCCTGTGAACGTTGCCTGCTGGTGGCCAGAGCCTGAGGGAAACTAAATATCCAAATCCCTCCAGAGAGCGCTGGGGATTTGGGGCTGTGTTACTCCAGGCTCCTGTTTTGCTTACGTCCCTTTTTTCTTAATGAGCCTTTGCAATAGGAAGCCCCGTCGGGAAGGAGGCCTTGGGCACAGCAACTCACGCTCCACTGCAACCCAACGCCCCTTTGGTCCCTCTGTTCCCCTGCTCCAATCCTCACAGGCTTGGCGGGGGGATTTGAGCACGTTGAGCAGTCTCACCATAGAAGGGATGTAAAACAGGACAGTGTTTTGTGTCGGTGCCACCTAACACGTTCCCCGCACTCCTCTGGCCGCCGCACAGCGTTGCACTCACGCAGGACCCCCCTCTCCTGCCGCTGGCGGGTTTTGCAGTGATGCCGTTCAGTGCGTAAGCGACAGTGATGTGCCAGATCTGCTCACGGCGTGGGCATCATCCCCAGGGTGGCAGGGGGCTGCAGAGGGGTGTGCTGCTCCCCTCGATCGCCTGGCCATATCCTCAGCACGGCAGGCGTGAGAGCCGGCTGCTCCCCGCAGTCTTGCAAAAAAACCCCAGTCTGTTTATTTTACGTTTAGCTTGGCCCCTTGATTTTTGAAAGGATTAGTAAAAATAGAGGTCTCACTGGTGATGTGAAAAAGGCCTTTCTCCATGTATAAAGGAACCTTTCTCCATGCTAGGTGTGATTCATTGGAAGGGAAAAAGGAACCTGTTGTATTAATTAGGTTTGCCTAAAGTCTGACCCAGTGTGCTATTGTAGCTGCCTGCCCTATATTATTTTATATTTCTATTTGTTAAGAGCTTATAATTTCCTAGCAGCGTTTGATATGCCCTGAGCTGCATTCAAACACCTTCAAATGACGAATTGATATGCAGCCTTTGTCCTGTGATTTGCGCTGTAACTCAGGGGGAATGGTTTGAGCAGAGCGTGGGGCTGGCGTACGCCTGATTGATCAGCCAGCTCGGCTCAGACAGCCTGCTCGTGTCAGGGCTGCTTCACGGTGAAACACCCCCTGAAACTCAGCCTGTTATTTCAGCCAATGCATTTTTAAGGACAAAGGAGTTCTGCTTCATCGGCACCAGAGGGGCGCAGCTGCCCGGTGGGAGCCTGGGATCGCTGGCTGCCCGGGGCAGGGCAGGTTGGGGGCAGTTTACCCCCACACCCTGCATGGCAATATGAGAGATGTTTGCAATGGGGCACTGAGCCCCGGGAAAGCCGTAGAGCCTCAGATAGATGCATATTTTGTCATAAAAGTGGAATGTGCAGGAGGCTTATTTGGTGACGTTTGGTCTGAGTGTATTGTGCCAGAATTGCTGTTAGGTCCGGGAGACACATAAATGTGCACGTTCCTAGTGTGTCTGGGGTCCAAGCTGTGCTCTTTGATAGCAGTGGCCAATCTACCGCTGGCAGCTGTTGATGCAGCCGAAATTTCAAGCAAATGCCCTTCAGGGAATTCCTTTGCTCAGATCATGAAGTAGGGACAGCAGCACCAGGAGTCATTCGTCACCTATGCTACAGTAAAACCCATCACATGTTCGAGCTTCGCTGCTGGTAAAAGTGTATGAAGCTCTTCCTTCCAAATAATAACGTCTGTAAATCAGTAGTAGCGTGGAAATTTACACTGTACAAGAAGCGAGAGCAATCTTCTTCCTGTGGGAGCATGTCAGCATCCTGGACCAGCCCCGGACCCTCCCAGCACTTGGCCTGTTGGTCTCTGGCCTTGGCGGTGACCTCTTGTCTGCCCCATGTGCCATTCGGCAGGCGTGCTAGGCAGGGCCACCGTAATCATTCTCCCCACTTAACTTTCTTTACAGGCCCAGAGAAGAGAAATATCCCCGATCCTCATGGCACTGCCACATCAGCCCTCACAAGATGTCTTGCTCGTTGAGCGTGAGGAACTTTTGGAGCACTTTCACCTCTTCCTGGGACCCACCATGTCCCTGGCTTTGGTGGTGGGATCTAAACCAGCCCTGTGTGAGTGGGATTATGGGTGACCGTGGCGATTTCCTCCAGGTTAAATGTTTGTGGAAATCAGGCAAAATTGGTCAAAAGAACTTGTCTTTTCTTAAATGAAATACCTCCATTTCCAGACAAAGCAAGTCTCCATCTTCACTGTCAAATGATAATGGGCTTAAATTGCAGCTCAAGTTAGGTATGATGGAAAGCCTCCAAGCTTCGGGGTGGTTGGGAGTGGGAGGGATTATTTCAGAGGCTGAAGGCTGCTCCTCTCTGGGGCCGTTGGAACGGCTCAGCCATCACCCAGCAGCAGCACTCCATGCCAACTTGCTTCTCCTCCTCTGGGGTAAAATGACCTCTCAAGGAGTTTTTCCAGCTCTACTCTGCATGATTCAATATTTCTATGATGCTCCCCAGGTCTGAGTAGGTCACAGGGTGACAGAGCAGGGACGGTAAAACTTACGCAGACGAGCAGGGCGGGGATGGGCGTGCAGTGCTTGACGTGGATCATGGCAAGGAGACTCGGCAAATGGCCTTCTCGGGCACCGGAGAAACATAACCTGGAAATAAGAATAGTAATGCAGAATCCACTGGGTGTACAACACCCTCCTCAGCATCCAGCCGTATAACGTCTCTAATCTCAACCGCCCTCATCGGTCTTGGCATGGAAGGGAGCTGTGGCCAACGGGTGCTGGCTGTGACTGGAGAGGCCACTAGAGACTGCCTGTGTAACCTGGCCTAAGGGAGTTACACCAGACCCTGCAGGATACACGGCCTTCAACGGCCAACGTCATCTGTGAAACGGAGAGGCCAACGGGCCTCTGAGGAGGAGGACTGAAATCTGCCCAGTCCCTGTCCGCTGACCAGCGTCGCCGCCTCACCCAGGGTGAGATGAATGCTGTGAAACTTGTGTGATGATCAGCCATACATTGCCAAGGGATAAAAAAATCTCATACATACTACTCGCAGTGTCAAAAGGGTTTTGGACAAGGTTTAACATGCCTTAAGATTTCATTTTAAGTGCGTAACCTGTTACGTATGCATGCAGATTTGTTGCATCTCGTGATACTCATGGAAGTGCTGAGATAAATAACTTTCCCAAGGTATTTAAGACTTGGGCTGTTTCTTAAAAAAAAAAAAGAAACAAATTTTTAATGAAGTTCAGACAGGTCAATTAATACAAATAGACTTTCTAGGCTATAATATAATAGACTTTACAGATTCTGGTCCCACTATCAGCACTGTGCATGTGAAGCATCTTGCCTGAAAGGAGTTTTTCCACCATGGGAATGAAAATGTCTGTAACTGGGGACAGCACCGGGCCCTGAAATTCCTCTTTGAGCGAAGCACAGTTTAGCTTGTAGCTACTGGAGTTAATTGATGTAAAATGACTTTTGTTCCATGCTAAAGCCGTGTTTGGCTCTTACTGTGAATTATTCCACATCTGCAGACACTTTCAGTAGCTCGTAAAGATTATTTTGCCAGAGATTTCATGATTCAATATTACATTTGCTGATTCAAAACAAAGTAATTCATAACCGAATATATCCAACACACCCAACAACAACCTCATGCTCTACAACATCCAAAACGTCTAGCTAGCATATTTTTAGCAAAAGAAATTAAAACAGCCCCTCCCCAAATTAGATAACGTTCATAAAATGGTACTCCATCTAACCTTGATGAGGTAAAAAGGTATCCATTTATTCCTCCAAATGTAGATAGGGCCACTGAGACTGGCATAACCCAGGAAAAATAGCCCAGTAACTTTTCACCAAATGTCTAAAGCAACAGAAGGCAGAGAAACTGAAATACACTGCAAAGCACAGAACCGACATCAAAGTGTATTTTAGACATCCAGGGAATGGTTTACTTACTACCGCCACAGCGTTGGAGGACAAGAGCTCTTGGGGTGACATGGCAGTGAAATATGCAATGTTGGTGAACGTATACACAAATGTCACCAATGGGATGGATATGAATATGGCACGAGGTAGGTTCCTAATAAAAGAATTAGGAGGGTAGATAAGAAATTACAGTCATGCACATCAAGACTACAACAACCGTGTACGGCCCGGGGGAGGTCACCCAGCTGGCTGGGTCCCTCGGCTGTTTTGCTGGAAGGAGCCATGCTCCCATCAGCTCTTTGACCTGCTGCAGGTTGGAGAAGGCTAAAAGTGCTACGAAACGCCACGTCTGCAGCGGGGAGCTCCCTGGGACACAACCACCACCTGCTCTTACTGGGCTGTTGACTGGGACTGAGGCAACGTGTTGCTGAAAAAGGAAATAGCTGTTCCTCAAAAGGCCCATGTACAGGCCCCAGCGGTGGAACAAAATGCCTTGTTTTGCTTCACCTGCTCTGAAAAGGAACAGGATCCTGTTGTTCAGGCGGCTGCCTTGGCCCATCCCATGCCATAAACCTGGCCTGGTCATACAACGCCATGGCAGCTTACAGGAGTACAGAGGTACCGATGCAGAGACGTCCTTAGAGGTGGGCACCAGAGCGGTTTGTATCGAAGGCAAAAAGGCATTTTTCTCTGTATGTCAGATTTGGAAAAAGGTTTTTAAAAAACGTGTTTAACCTTTGTGCTTTTGAATAGATTTAGTAGAAGGGGGAAGTGGTTTTGGCTATCCAATTATTTTTTTTTTATATTTTAGTTTCCCCTCAGAGGCTGAAAAACAATTTAGAAAGAAGCCATTTACTCCTTTTTATCTTTATTACTTAACTAAGGCTGTATTTGCCTTATTTAACTCATAACTTTTCATTATTCAGCTTTGAAATTGTGGTGATCCATTAAAATGTTGGTCTTCTACACACTACCACACTTTCTTGATTCCTGCCAGGACCTCTGGACTTTGCCACTCACTAGTGTGAAGGCGTGAGCAGAGCCACTCGTCAGGCTGCAGCTTTAATTCATTCCCATCCAGGCTGTGCAATAACTTAAATTTCTCCTTGCTTAATTGCTCTGCGCATCGGATGCCCAGAAATAACTAACGCTCCGAGAGCTGCTCTTGGCGTTTGTCATTCCACTTGATCAGCTCAGAAAATGTTGAAACATTTGCGCTTTGCTTTACTAAACTAAAATTCACTTTCCCTCCAGCTTTGCCAGCCTGCTCGTGATGAATCATTTCCAAGCCCCTGCCCGTACCCAGGAGCAGCAGCGACCTGTGCCGGTGGCCCGGTGGGCGGGTGCCCAGAGCTGCGCCGGGGCAGGGAGTGCTGCCTGCACCACGCAATACTCTCTACCCTTCTCTTTTGGTTGTCGGTGGAAGATCCCCAACGGGTAAAAAACCGAAGTGACTCCCAGTGTAATTCAACATTCTTCTAATAGCAGTGATTCTCCTATAGATACTTGCATGGCATCCCGCCAGTGGTTAAATTTCTGCTCCAGAGGCACTGTATGGTTGGATAGTGCCATAGCGATAACGCGTTGTCGATGGGCTGGTTTGATTCAGTTAAAGCCTTGTGCAATATATTCTTAATTTCGGTGTTCCTTTATCTCACTTGCTATCTCTTCTAAATAAAAAATCTCCCTCCTTTAGAACCACGGGTCCCATAGACGTGGAATGACATTGCTGCAGCTTATTAAATGAATAATATTACCAGATGGCTCCAATATCTCAGCACTTTGAAAAAATATGGATGGCATGGAAATGGATATACTCGCCTGCGGGGATCAACCAGTTCTTCTGTTACGTAGTTCAAGAAGTTCCAGCCACTGAATGCAAACGACCCTTGAAGAAAAGCTAATGCTAAATGCCCCACCGATGGAGTCATCCAAAAATTGAATGCGTTGCTTGGTGTCAGCTCCTCGTAGTTTCCTGCACAGAGAGCGCAAGCAAGAGGTAAGCCACCCCTGGAGAAGTGCTACCTACCAGAGACACCGGGGAATAAGTTAACTGTTGGGGTTTATTCTTTATTTTTGTTCTTTATAGGATCTGGGGCTTCCTGCTCTTCCCGTTCTAGAGGTCACCGCGGGCTGGCGTTGCACTTGCAGTGCTTTCTGCAGATGGCATCCTAGGAGGCAGCTCAGGCCTTACGCAGGGACAGGGCATCCCTCGCTGCTGTCTGTGCCAGTGGCGTTGCTGTGGCTCTTGGGACCGACCTGGCCAGCCTGAGGCTGGCTCCTTGACGGGGATAATTCCTACCTGTTCTTCATGTGGTTCTCTTTTACAAGAATTTGGTGGTGTTCAGTAGAAATACTGAAACACAAAATGTCTATGGGACTCGAAGATTTGTCAAGACTGTGGGACTACTACCACTGAGAAAACAAGTTTTCTGCTCTCTGTAAACGTCATATTTTATCTTCCTTTATATGACTCAGCATATGCATGATAAAGACTTTGTAAACCTTTTGGTTTCCCTGCTTTCCATTTTGATGGTGAATCAGTGAGAGTTTTTTGCCTATTTTTAATCTTATTAGGGACTTTCTGTAGGAAATAGGACTACGGCCCAAAACAAAGCAGGTATCTTCCTGCCCTGGGCAAGGCATTACTTATTCATTTTACGCCCAGAGCACTTCAAATTTAAGGATCATGCAACAGATTAAAAACTTGCAGTAGCTATTCTGAAACATCTTCAGCTGCCCTCCTTTGTCCCGTCAAAACCAACAGGGCAGGCCCAAAAGGGACTTGTTTAAGGGAATACAGTTGATTTCTCTGTTGTGCCATCCTTGCCACGGCTGCGTGAGTACACAGCCCCGCAGCTCAGCCAAACACAGCGTGTCTTTGGGTTGGCTTGTAAGGGGGAACAGTGCAGTAAGTGGGAAAAATCTTGTCTATCCACAGTACCATCCCCGTGTTACAGCTGTCTCACAGAGTACCTTTAAAGATCTGTATGAAGCCCACAATAATGATAAGGGCCAGGGCTAAGAGTTTTCCTGCTGTAAATATATCCTGAATGCGCGTTGCCCATCGAACGCTGGAGCTGTTCACCCAGGTCAGGAGGACTGGAGAGCAAAAGACTGGATTCAGTGAAATGAAATTAAGTTTATTTAAGAACACACAATCAAAGCATTGAAAAACACATACGGACGCACGCGTTCCTGCAAGAAGCTCTAGCGTGGCCAGGAGCAAGAGTGAGGAGGAGCACTGCCTTTCCCTAGGAGACTCCCAGCTTCAGGGGCATCCCTGGCAGCCAGCAGCTTTTCCCCCTCAGGGGCTGCTGGTCGGGGATCCCCCCACTCGAGTAACTGTGCCTGAGTAGTGCTCAACGTGCAGGGATCGCCACCTCGTCACGGAAACGATGAACGTCTTTGGTCCCCGTAGCTCTGGTTTGCCGACTCCCTAAGTAATTAATGCCGAGACGGTGGCGTGCTGCGCCTCCTGCACGCTCACGGTTGGTTGTGAATGGAAAACAAGGCTCAGAAGGGCTGAAATGGCAGTGGGTAACCACTGCTGGTGGGAAACCCATGCTGGGGGGTCGCCCGTGCCAGTGGGTAAGCCAAGCTGGTGGGTAACCTGTGCTGGTGGGTAACTCGTGCCGCTGGGTCGGCCATGCCGGGCATCCGTGGCTCTGCAGGGAGCACTGCCCTGTCCCACAAGTTCACCTGCCGCCACTTTCCCAGGACCCACAGGGATTTGGGCGCTGCTGTCCCCCGCTCCAGCCCGCTGTTCTTGCTGTGGGCAAGTGGGAAGGGACTGAGTATCCCGCCCCACTCACAGTGCCTGTCCTGGGACCTCCCCACTTGCCTTTCGGGTGGTGGCCGTGACCCCAGCCCGGCTGGAGCGGCCCCTCGAGCGGTTCCATGCAAAACCGAGGCAAGTTTGTGTGTGCGCGAGAAGCAAATACTCACGTAAACACACCATGGAGAGGATCCTGGAGGCATTATAGGGGGGGATACAGTTAGGGAAGACGGGCTGCAGGACGTAGTTTGAGAAGGTCAATGCAATGACAGCCAGACTGGTAGGGTACATGATCAGCACCGCACTCCAGAGCAGCAGGAACCTGAAAACACAAAGAAAAGCAGAAGGAAGCAGCTCTGGGAGTGTGCTGGAGGAGGTAGTGCCCGCTCGGCTGTGCTGTGTGCCAGGACCACTCCTGGGGTGCTGAGGCAGAGGGACTTCATTTGGGTCACACCTAACAGTCACCTACTCGTGCCTCTCCTCATCCCTTTTCCCACATCCCCAGCGCAATCTGCATTTTAAATGAAACATTTTAAAGAGCATCACAGTTTAGGGACGTATGGAAGAGTGAGGATTATGTCCAGCGGGCACGCTTTGATTTAGCTCTGTACGTCAAAGTGGAAGCACCTCTGCTGCTCCTGCGCCAATGTGTTACCTCAGCAGACGCAGTGCCTACACTGAAGGCACCTCTGAAGGCTTTCAGCGGGGCATTCCCAGGTGTGCTGCTGGTCCCTACGGGCACGGAGAGACCTCTTGTCCCCATCCAGGTGGGCTCTGTGAGCCCAGCCAAGGCAGCTCAGTGCTGCAGGGTTCTGTGATTGCCCAGCTGGGGCCCACCCAGGCTGGTTCTCTGCCTCCAGCTGTGGCTGGAGGTGTTTGCACCAAACGAGGGACCCTTGCTAATATGAAGAGTGAGATTTTTTTTTTTGTTTCTCACTCTGGGAAAAGGAAAAAAAAAACCCAAACCCTAACTTATAAAAGCAGCAATGGATCTGGTTAGTATTTTAAAATATTTGAAGCATTATTTTTCCTGTAGAGAAGTAGTTGCTGCAAGAAAGGGACCTCCTTGCAATGTACGTAGGCACAGATGCACACACATTCGTTCCTTCCTATACACGCACAGGTGTAGCATGCAGGGATGCCTGCACAAATGAGGACCAGGAATGATGTTTCCAAATAAGACAGTACAATTTCTAGATTGTGCTGGGTTGCTCTTTTAAGGGCTGCTCTCTCCCAGCAGGCTGCCTGCTGCCAGCCCCTTAAATCTGGCACAGATCAGGGAGGGGCTTGCCTGGGCTGCTGATCTGGAGGAAGGGAGTGCTGCTCCTCAGGCTGAGGTGGTGAGTGACTCTCAGTCCCATCCTTCGCTTGGCCTTGCTTCTGTGAAATATGGGGCAATCTGTCACTTCCCTTTTCTTATTAACTACCAGAAAGTTAATTTGGTCAACTGGCGTGATGCAAGAGCTGGTTACCTTCCCCACATGGCATGATTGTTTTTAAAACTCAGGAGTTTTTTATTATCCTCTCTATTCTGTGTGTGACTCCTTTCCCCACACACTTCCACCCCCAGACTTCTACTGTTTTTCATCATGGTTCAGAGCAGTTTCCTCCAGTGCTAGCTGTTGGGTGCTGTGGGTGGTGCACCCAGTTTGGGGTAGCTCTGCTTGCTGAGTGAGTTAACCCTCTGGTCCCCAGTGAAGGCTAAATATGACTCAAAGACTGCAGTAAGTGCCTGCTGATAGGGTTGGGATGCTGGCGGTGCTGAGTGAAGCCAAGTTCAGCCCTTATTGCCCCTGCAGGAGGCACCCAAGGCGTTTGGGTGGGCAGGGGCCACCAGCTCTTCCCCATCAGTTTCTCTTAGCCCATGCACTTTATGCAGGCAGAGAAGTGTGTTCAGCTAAAAACGTTCAGTGGGGAGAATGACAAACTATTTCAAGCAAAATTTGCCCTTGCTTGTATGTTGTAATATGGAGTGGGTTACAGTGGTATTGGGTAGAATATGTTTTAATGGGGATTTGAATAATTCAATAGATTTGACTGTCAATTTGGTTCATGCTAAATTGAAATACATGCAGGACTGACAACACCCATTAAAGTAAATGCAGAATTTTAGCAGAGTGTGACAAAGTTGAACTGTCGAATGGGAAGCCCAAATGTGAGATGGCACTAAAATAAGAAGGAAGCTTGCCTAAGATGTAGGCCCACTTGTTTTTCCAGGAAAGTTTTAACGAAAGCCTGGTTCTGAGAAAAAGATATCCACTCTGGTCACTCAGATCACACTCACATCCCTGAGCATCCAGCTGCTGGAGCTGGGGCTGCACTGCTGAGACTTCCCTTGCTCTCACAGAGCCATCGGTAGCTGCCAGGGCAGGATGAGGAGCCAGAGGTCCAGCTGGCTGGGAATGGCTGGTTTTGAGTTAAATTGCTCATGGGGAGGTGGCATTTGCTGTGGCTGGCAGGCAGGAATTAATATGATTACCCAATGTCTAGGAAGTCTTTGCTTTTAAAGCACCACCTCTTATCATCTGTTGTGTAGGAAGAGTTAAGAGCACAATTTCCTTAGCAAAGATCTGTTGCCGATCAGCTATAATTAATTAAAGTGACACAAGGCTGAAATTTCCTGAAGACATAACCGAGTTTCAGATGTCCTCGCTATCACGTTGCACACACAAGTTGACAAATCGAGGTGCAAGCTGAAGGGCTGGAGCTTTCCGTGCTGGGCAGCCGTGCAGAGGGAGCGTATCCAGTGCTGGGAGCCTGAAGCAGGGAAATGTCATGGTGGCATACCTGGGGTTACATTGCCTGGCTCTCTAAATGGGAACGGGGGAATCACTGCCCCGGGGGCTGAGCTGTGGCACTGAGGGTGTCAGGAGCTGAACCCTATCTGGTAGCCTTTCACAGTGACTCTGTGATTTACAGCACTACAGGAACCTAGAAGTTAAATCTTCACTCATTGCTGTCGAAGATAGATTAGAAACAGACTGGAGACAGCCAAATGTGGAGGAAAAGGAAGATGTATCTGGTCTTGCAACATATATGTATTTATAATCTTATTTTTTTTCTTAAGCATTGGCACTTGTGTGGGAAATCTGAGCTCCTGCACATGCTGATGGTGAAGGGGCTGGTAAAATAACCTCCCTGAGGAGGAGCAACCCGTGCTCATGTGTAACGAGCCTCAGTGGCTGCTAGCTGGATAGCCTCTGTGTTTTTTGTTGCTGAGTCTGATCCAAAATCCATTGAAGTTAATAGCTATCAATGCATGTGTGTTAGATACTGTCTCTAATTGGACAGTTTTTCCCCAATTTAGAAACACACTGTAATAAGTGACAACATATGGTAGGACATACTGCTTTTGGGAAGGTGTGGCATTCTTGTGGAAGTGCCAATCATCCCTGGACCCAAACTGAATTTTTTTGCAGCTATCTCTGCATACTAATTTCCTCACCTGTGGAAAGAAATGAACAGCATGGTTTGGCTGGGACTTTAATAGTCTAGTGGACTTGGTGAAATCAGATCTCAAACATGTATTTGGGCTGTGCCCAAACTCCCAAAATGATCTCACCTTGGATATAAAATACCATGGATTCAAAGCAGCCTGTGAAAATAGAAAATTAGAGTGTACCCAACTTGGGCATCATTAACAAAAGAAAACAGTTTGAAATAGATGCTGTAGTACAGATCAGCTTGTCACAGGGAAAGCTGACCTGGTTGAGCTAGTTTGAATATTATTAATATTATCCTACATTGCTGAAAGAATTATTGGTTTTGGAAACCTTAGCTTTTTTGCAACACCACCACAAATTAAACATGGAAGTATATTTGAAGCATGTTTTACTTGCAGTTTGGAGTGACACTTACCAAAGCTTTGGCTCAGGGCTCTCTGCTGATTTCAGTAGTATAGATTTTTAGTAAGGACGTATGTTCAGTCATCATTGCTGCCGGTGGAGCAGCCACCCTAGTTGCAATGTTATTGCTGAGCAATCGGAGGAAGTTGTAGTTATCAGAAATGCACTAGTGGGTTTTTCACAAAGCTGAATTTATTCATTGTCTTCTGCAAGAGCACGTATTAAGCCTATTATTTACTATTGTGACTAATGTTCTTTTTATGACTCATGCAGACATGCAAGTCCATATGCATGTGGGATGAGCTGTGCTCAGCCAGCTCCAGCAGCACGGGATGTGACACATTCCCTTCAGGTCATGTGCTCACACATGAATGCTATTTAAAACCAAGATGGTTTTTAAATGAAGACGAAAGCAGGCAGTCTGCTTTCTGCTACAGACCAGAGCACAGTGCAACAGGAGCCTCCCTCACCTCTTCCTTCTCCCCTGGCTGGAGCTGTCGGGGAGCATCCCTTCTGCAGGGTGGGCTCCAGCCACGTTTGCCATTGCCGGTGCTTTCAGCAGCACTTCATGCACTGTCCTTCAGCTGTACTTGGAGCAGGGCTGCTGCCAGCTCAGGAGATGGCCCTGTCCTGCCTCTCCCTCTTCTATTCCATCCACCTTCTTACATCACACCTCGCAGTGTTACGGTTTAATTTTTATTTATGCAACTAACTGACAGGCTGAGAGAAGCTGGGGCATCCAGTGGCTGCTATGATCAAATAGTACTCCTTTGTTCCTTATACCTATGCAAGAAAACATAATAAACAGAGGATTTGTGAGGGCAGGGACAAGAGTTGAAGAGGAAATGTCATGGTCTGGGTGGGTATGGCACATACTCCTGTAATAAACATCTTCGTGTGAATAGACCAAACCATCCAGATTTGCCACTGAGAAAACCCTTTGGCAGATGCACTAAACTGTGTGGTGAATTTGATGTTCTTTGCTGTAGAAAGATTAAATCAGAAGAGAAAAATAGAACTTCTGGAGAGGCCATGTTTTTCCTTGGGGGAGGCACAGTGGAGGCTCCTAGAGGGCCCCTTTCAGCTCGGAGCTCCATGCATGAGTGCCAGTGGGGGAATGGGCGCTTCCTAAATGGAAAACTGAAGGTGCTTGTGTGAGTTCCCCAAAGCTGCAGGCTTTAGGTGGTGGCTCAGCACAGTGGAGCAGGGCACAATCCCAGCCCAGCTTTACTGCAAAATATGACTGAGCTCCCTGCTTCTTACACCAAAACCTACCTGGGAGCTCCTTGCCTAAGGCAACCCGTTGTCATACTTACAACATGGTTTATTTTCTTGGGAGAAAAGGTAAAGTCCCTTTGCAGAGCAAGAGCGGGAGCACTGCTTCCCTGCAGTCCCGTTCATTGTCACGGTCCTTGCTTGCAGACCCCGTTCCTGGGAGCAGGCGATGGGGGGATCTGCTGGCTGACTGCCGCAGCGTCCCAAGGCAGCTGGGGCTTTGCCGTGCAGCTCCTGCCCCCCTGACCTCAGTGAAGGTGAGTTGAGATTTTGGTTAACCAAGCCGATGTTGATACCTCAATCCATGCTGCGACGCCAGTCTAAGTTTCTATGCAGAGGGACGGCGTTCAGAGGAACATTTCCTCCGATGGAGGAAACGGCGACTTCCATGAGACCTAGTACGAGGCAGTGGCTTAGCTCTGGCAAGGGTCAGAAAGCTACCTTGTCACCCAGCCTGCTCGCAGAGCCTGGCTGTGCCTGGGCAGCACTGAGCCAACGCAGGCATGAGCAGGGTGACAGGCCTTGGGACGGGGTGACAGCCTGCCTGCGTGATGCCTGTGCTGATTTACCGTAGCTCAGCAGCCAGTGCAACTGTTATGAACTTGTTTTCTGTCTCAAATGAGAAGGCATGTTCTTTTCTTTTTTTCCTTCTTCTTTCTCTAGTTGGCAGTTATGGTCCCCATTTGTCACAAATAAAGCACCAACATGTGGCATGGCCTCTTTACTTGCAAATGGGCGAGCTGGCCAGAAAGTGCTTCTCTAGTGAGCTGTGAGCACAGGCTATTGGTTCATTCTTCTTGCTGAAGACACAATAAAATATACAGGCAAATATAAATGACCTCTTCTATCTTGTCCCTTCCTCCCTTAGCCACACTATTCCATGGTCTGTTCAAAGATAAATCATTCCCTGAGTTAGCATTTTCTGCTCTTCGAATTCACAACATGCACTCTGTACAGTTGCAGGACGTGAGGCAGCACTGCAAGCAGGCACCCATCCCTGGGACATGGCTGTGGGCAAATCTCCTCCAGCAAGGGTCTGTATTCTGCTGTAGGAAGGTCTCGCAGTGTAGTGCCATGGAAGTATTCACTGCCTTCTGCACTGATCGCTAAAGTTGGTCTTTGGTTCATGGTCACTAGCTCCTGCGTGGCTTCCCTGCTGTGGGAAGTTCTGAATACAAGGCGCTGACCACTCATGGCTGGCACGCAGGAATGTCACTGGGACACAGCGTCATTGACACTGCGGTTCTTTCCTTTCATGAACTTTATTTAGAGTCAGAGAGGGAAGTGAAAGTGCCTGTAGCTCTGCGTGGGGGCAATTTAGTATTTCTAATAAAGCAGAAAGAGTGACTTTGCAAAAGCATTTTATTGACAAATGTTCCCTTTCTTTCCCAAGTCAGAGACCTTTTCCATGCTTAATATACTTAGCATAAACACATTTACAAATTATAGAGACAGGGTACTTACCCAGCTAACCCACCAAAAATCTCTGTGACGTAGGAATAATCCCCTCCTGATTTGGGGATAGTGACTCCCAGTTCGGCATAACATAGCGAGCCAAGGGCAGCCACCCCGCCGCCAAGCACCCAAATAACAAGAGCGAGTCCCACCGAGCCGGTGTGCTCCAAAACTCCTTTTGGCGAAATAAAGATCCCAGAACCAATTATATTACCTGGAAAGGACAAAAGGTTTGCAGTGAGATAAGAGGAAGTGAGAAATGCACTTTTTTTTTTTTAAATTAAAAAAAAAAGCACGGCTGTGGTGATGCTCAACTTGCTCTTCCCTGCTCTCCCGCAGAGGCCACCCTTTGGAGCACGAGCCTCGGGGTGTCTCTGTGCCAGTGACCCGGGACTCTCCTGCTGTGTCTGACGCTGTCCTCTGCGGAGGGGTGCAGGGGAGGCAGAGGCCATCTCGCCTCAGAAGTGACAAGATGTCAGGCAGGGCGGGTCTGTGTTCGGGAAGTTGCTGCATGTGCAAGGAAACCCATTACAGGTCGACTCGAAGGCTATTTAAAATTCTCTTTTTGGCATGGGGGGCCACTGTGCAAATCCCCTCCCTCCATCCCAAATTGGGGTGCAGGGGTGTCCCTTCGGCAGCGGGGCTCATGTACGGAGAAACGGGAAGGTGTAAAATGGGTGGGAGCAGGGATGTTAGCAAGGGAAAGGGAACCCTCAGCCCTGTCTGCTCACGGTCTCCCCTCCTTCCCCTCTGGAGATGGTGGCTGCATTGGGCTCAGCAGCTCCCAGTTCAGAGGCTGTAAAATATGATGTGAGGGATGGGGGTTTACTCTGGGGAGGAGCTGAACTAGATAAGTCTGCAAATAGACAATATTTGTAAGGAATACATTTTTGTGTGCATGGGAAGATTTTTTAAATGTCCATGATGCACAGATAAGATTAAGCCAGAAATAACTGGCTTAAATGTCGATGGAGGAGATCAAGGGTTGAGCTCAGGAAAATCCTGGCAGTGGTGAGATGTTTAGCCATGGAGGAAGCCCAAGGCATCTCCCACCTGTGACCTCCTGCTGGAGGTAGGACAGACATCCTCCAGGATCAGAATCTATTTCTATGCATGTAAAAAAAAAAAATCAGATCAGGGATGTAGATGTTATCAAAACTAGATCATACTAGAATCACAGTAAAATTAAATATAGATATCCCTTAGCTGAACTAGCACGGGGAGCCCTAGGCTCTGCTACAGCATTAATCATGGCAGCTTGCGCGGAGGGAATGGGTTTTGATGCGGATGAGTCGCACAATATTATTCATAGCGCTAATAGATTTGTTCTGGGCCTTCCCCACTGGGAAGTTCATGGCTGGAGCGCTGCAGAGTGGTGAAATCTTTCAAGAAGATAGATGAGGAGTTAATGTATTGCTAAAGCATACATAATACTTGATAAAATTTATGAGGCTTTTTGGTCATGGTTTCTCTTGCTGGCTGAAGCATTGCAACATATTTAAAACAAGCGAGCTTTTCTGGAAGACTGGTTGTGCCCTGTTCAGGAACTATAACAGATCTTGAATTTAAGCTGGAAAAGAAATACCTGCTTTAGGAGTTTAAAAACTGTCTTGACAAAGCTGTGTGCTGCAGCTGTACCAGGTACCCTCGTGCATATGGAGGAAGGCCGTAAGTTATAAAGGACCCTTAGAAACGATCCTCTACCTGTCAGCATAGGTATCTGGGTGCATGTACTTTTCACAGATCAATGCATCTGAAAATGCAGATACAATGCATCTGAAAATCTCCTTCCTCATCTTTGGGAGGAGCCAACAGTATCTTGGGGAGCACACTGAATTTAGGACCTACCACTTTTCACTGCAATAGAGCTGTAGGTTTTAATTACCTCTTTGGGATGGCACGGTGCTTGTTCCTGTTCTGGCAACCCCAATGAACGAACCGGAATCACCCAAAGACAGAGTAACCCATGAATGAGTCCCCTGGCTCCTCTCACACCATCTCCTGCTCAGTGCTCTTTTAACTTAGCTCAGGTTTGCTGCTATTTTTGGCAGCAGACAGCAGATACAAATACCCATCCTTCAGCGAGAGCTTCCGCCCCCACACTCCGTCACCTTTTCATTGTGTGAGTACGTGGAGAAAGGGTAAAACCCAACCGCAGCACGGCATCCCCCAAACTGCTAGCGGACACAAATGGAACAAATCTTCAAGCTCACATGCAACGCTACAGCGTGGTAGCAACCCCCAGGCGTTGGCGAGGGGACGAGAGCTGGGGTGACCCCTGCCCACTGGTGAGGGGACGAGAGCTGGCTGCGTGCCGGGTTGGCTGTACATGCTCAGCTGTTTGCCGTGACGGGCAGACCCGCTGGCGGGCTGGGAGGGTGGACAAGCGGGGAGGCCGGTGGCGGCAGCGCCGTGGGAAGCAGTGTGATCAGGCCGTGCTGTGATGGACCCAGGGAAGGGAGCAACGAGTCCTGGTGAGGTGTAACTGCAGAGATAAGGTGGCGGCAGTCATCTGGCACGGCAGTGATAAAGTGCAGTCTCAATGCATAGACAGCAAGTCTACGGTGTGTTTTTTTAAATGCTTGCATTTGGTTTTGTCAGAGCCCTGAATTTCTGTGCTTCGCGTTTCTGCTGCTAGGAAAGGGCATTGCTCGCCCCCATCTGCCTGGGGGCTGGGAACCAAGGGGCATCGGCAGCAGGGTCTTACTTGCCCAAATTGTAGTGGGGAGGAGTTGTCTGTGGCACAAGGTGGTTTAGAGTGATGCCCTCCTGTTAGGGCAAGGCTGCCAAAGCAGTCCTCCTCGTGTGCAAGTCTACTGAGCTGGAAATAGCCAGTACTTTATTTAAGGTTAATGCTTTCTGGGTGCAGCTACCTGGAGGAGCAGTTCAGGAAGGAACAGGCAGCCTTCTGGTCAGTCCTTTCATACAAACATTCAGAGCATTTTTTTTGTTAAATTAAGTAGGTAATCATATTTTTAAAAGCTAGTGTCCTTCATGAATGAATACATCACCAGGCAAAATTCTCTTCCAACATCATTATGGATCTCCTATTATTTTGCTCTTGCAACATGTGCAAAAGCCGTATCAGCTGGAGTGGAAGTGCTACACCCCTTCCAAGAAAATGTTCTTATGGAAACCTGCCATGAATGTGGTAAATGTGCCTGGGAAGTACCTTTGCTTCACTCAGCATAGGACATGTTTAAAAATAGATGTGGTGGAGATGCTGAAGCGCCCTAAGAAAAATGAGATGTGAGAACGAGCCTGATGAGAAGCAGAGTTTTCAGGAGCTGTTGTGTTCCTTAGCAGAAGATCTTAGGCCAGAAGACACAGCAATAAGGCAGATGCTTTACCTGCAAATAGGTATTTCAAAGCAACCCTGGGTAAGCAGGAACCGGAGGGAATTTGGTGAGCAACTCTACAGCAAGAAAAAAATTGGCTGTGCAGTTTGGGGAGACTCTCAGTATGGTGCTCCTGGGGGCTATTTGTTTCAGCTTTACTAGTGCTGGTACACCTGATACTCGCTGCTTTTATTTTTTTCTTCTAAGATGTGACTAGATGGAAAAATTGAATTCCTTCTTGTAAAACAGCCTCATTCTCTGCTCCTTCATGGCCTCCACTAGAGTTTCTTGCTACTGAACTACCTCCATTAGGAAAGTAATGCTTGAATTGCTTATACGTTCATGCCACAGACATACCTTATAATACAGAATAGGCTGTCTAGAACTATATATATATATATAAATTCTTATTGGTAATAATACAGCCTTAACCAGGCCTGGGAGGTATAAGCCAGTTACTGGAACTTGTGCGACCAATCCCAACAAATCAGAATGCTAAATGACAGTTTTTGCCACCTTCAGATCAAGCCTAAGGAGAGACTGATGCATTCACATGGCACAACGACTTGGGCAAGGCAGATCAATACTCGTGGTGCTGTGCGCCCCAAGCCCACTGCAGGTGCTCAACGCGTTATGCCAGCCACAAAAGTGGAGAATGGAGAGACATGCAGCCACATGAAATGGGCCAGGTGAAGTGTGCTGGGTGGGAAGAGTGGGATGGTGAGCCTGTTTGTCTCCACGTGTTGGCCCAAGCCCGCTCCCCTGTCAGGTGAAGGTGTTTCTGCTAATAATAAAGGGGAAAAAAACCCAAACGCTCACTTGCTCAGCCCTCTCAAATCCCTAACCTTAAACAAGAATCAGTTTTCTGCAGAAGAGAAGCTGTCCTTGACCCAGCACTGTATTGTGTAGCAGCAATGAGCCTTGAAAAGGCATCCTGCAGAAATACTGACCTCTGGAAAGAAATCCTCTTTCTGCTCCAGTCACTTAAGAATTTGTAAATGAGGTAGTTGAGAGCCTTGAACTTGCCAAATTCTGTGAATTTACTGATTTTTTTGCTTATTCATAATAACAGACATTTGTGATAGGGGCAAGGAGAAAGGTAGACCTCACAGCTGTCTGCTTGATGTTAAAGAAAAGCTTTTTGTTCTGCACTTAGAGAAACTGGCCCATAAAATAGCTCAGGAGCTGTTCATTGGTGTGAAAAGATGACCCTGGCAGGACTGCCAGAGCCAGCGAGACCTTGGGTGATCTGCTCCCACGCTGCTAGTGCACTCATCCCCTCACCCTTGGGGTGCTCCCGCTCAGTTGCACAGTGCTGCCAGGATGTGTTACTTGACTGGAAAGGTGAAAAAACACAGACATTTCTTCTTTTCTTTTTTTTTTTAATTTTCTTTTTTCTTCCCCTCCCTCCCCCCTTCCCATTTTTCTAGGATATGGAAATGACTCTCGTTGTCCAAAAAAATAAATCATGGCACTCAATAAGATCTTAAAAGTAGTATATTTCAGGCTACTTTACCTGCTTTCTGTGTTTTGTCTTTTTCTTTTTGAGGTTTCATGGTTGCAGTTTTCATGAATTTTAAAAAAATTCATGAGGATTAAGAACATACTTTTTAAACAAAATCTGAGGGTCTTGTGGAATAACACCACTTGAAGAGTTACTCTGTGTGTGGGAACGAAATGAACATCTAGAAGATGACAAAATGGGAATATGGGTATATGGGAAAGGGTGCACACTGCAGCACCTGACGATGGTGACATAATACCTGGACAAAGCTGGACATGAGCCGGC